GTGCTTTAAGCTCTTATGGGATACAAACCTCGGAATTCATTTACTGTGAACGAATTTTTATAAAATTTTTTGCATTGTATTCTTAATAAGTTATTTTACAAAGTTCACTTTAGTATTTAAATAAACACACCTATACAAATGCATACAGACAAGATGGCTCCACATTCCGGAAAAGCTCTGTATCAGGATTCCTATTGGAGATTTTCACTTCAAAATTTTTACAAAATATGTGTTTAATGGTAGTTCACATTTCAAAAATATTTTTATAAATATACAGGGTGAGTCAAATTCCGGTTTCAAAAATATCTTAATACCATATAGTATATTAAGTGGTTTTTGAATTATGACCATGTCAAGTAAGAAGTCCATGAGGACGACAATCTACAGGTCCAGGAACCTTCGTATGATAACTTCTAATCGAGACGATCGACTAATTGTAATTTTATCGTAACTAACGGACTATAAGCAGAAGATTAAATGAAGCAAATCTTATGTCAAGAAGGCCTGCTTCGGGACCAGAACTTACTAGATGTGTTGACTAGGCTCAAAAGCAAAGGCATGGTCTTAATGTATAAATTACAAAAAATGTTAGTGTCTTCTTCAAAAGCGAATATTTCCAACAAAAATAAAGCTAATGAGATGAACCAAAAAACAAACCATCGAGAAAGGATGGATCTAGATGATAAAATGATTTAAAATTTCTTCCTGTTTTAACATATTCCACAGGGTGTTTCAAACTTTCACCAAAATATGAACATTTTCTTTTCCCTCGTATAATTAACAGACTGAGAGTTTCATTTTTAATTTAGAAAAAGGTACTAAAAAGTAAAAGAATTGGGCTACACACTGCTTAAAAATCATCAAAATCGACCCATTAAAACAAAATATATTAACCTTTAGATACATCAAAGTTTTAAGGTAGGTGCCCATTTTTCGTGCCTGTGAATGTATTTCAAAAACTATACATTTTAGTCATATTCTTTTCTAATAAAACAAACCTTTATTTTTTTACTAGATTCCAAAAATGAATTGATATATAGGGTGTTCCATTACAAAAAACATAACTTTGATGTGTAACTTTTTTTTGGGATACCGTGTAGAACTTTATATAATTTTATAAAATGCTTTATACTGACTTACATAAGCTCACAAAATTTCACTTCAATACAAACTTTTGTTCTCCTTGTAAAAACCGTGTCGTATATGACGCGCCACCCTGTATAATTCGATTTCAATCAAAATTTCAATTATTATAATATAAGCAGAATAGGTATAGCTTATGCATTAGATTGATTTATTTCAATAAATTTACTTAGAAAAAGAATTAGAAAAATCAAAAGAATAAGAAGGAAATAATTAAGAATTTACTAAAATTACTAAAATAAAAAATTAAAAGCAACGAAAAAAAAATGGATAAACATTTTAGTATTTTATCTATAAAACATAATACAGAAGGTTTCACATTAATACATACATACAAAACATTGAGGTTTAAAAAAAATTATACATTATATGTTTTTTTAATTAATTTTGTTTCTTAATAATTTATTTTCAAATTTATTTACCTGTACATTTCTTTTTTAATCTGTGTGTCAGTCTTGTTTTTATTGTCAATTAGGACACCATCACCATAATCATTCTCAGCTTATTCAACCATATCCAATTATAGGGTAGTCTCCCTCACTTATTTAGATAATCTCTTCGTAGTTGTTGTTTATTGTTTCTCCCATTATTGTTTATTGTTGGCTGTGCGGGCCCAAGTTATCTCTGCTAATTTCTTAATATCATGATCCTATCTCAAGTTTGATCTTCTTCTAGGTCTCTTAATTCTTTGTGTGTTCCATGCTGTAATTTTTGTGGTCCATTTGTTGTCCATTCTTCTTGCCAGGTGTCCTTCCCATTGCCATGTCATAAGTCCTCCATGCTAACTTAATTCTTTGATTGATTTCTGGTAGTAGAGATCCCCGAGGTGTGATCCTCAGAATGTCTCTTCTGACCATAGTTCGTTGTGCATTACTTCCAAATAGTGCAACTTCTGTTACGTTCAATTAGGTATATTATGTAAATATATATTTTTTATTTTTCTGATTATATGAACTGTCTGTATATATTACTGTCTATATGTAACTAAGCACTAAGGTAAATAAGCAAATAAGATTTGTATCCACTATGTTGTTTTTTTTTAATTTTTTATGAAACTTACATAATAACTAAAATTTTGAGGTATTAGCCTAATATCATAAGAGAGACATTTGTTTACGGCTGTTCAGAGCGATATGTAATGACAGTAATGACGTTAATTCTCCTAATGCAGGAACTGCATTTCGGGTGATAAACTGTCACAATGTAACGGAGGCAATTAAATCTCATGCCTTTGATTTCATTACTACGGACGTTTGATTTCAAATGCCCGAATATCGACGGAAACTCGTTTCAACATAACTAATTATTATACTCACGTATATTTACTAACTACATTTATATTGCAAATATAGGTATACAGGGTGTACCTTAATGACATGCTATTATTTTAGAAGGTGATTCTTGGACCTATTTTAAAGAAAAAAAAAACTTTATACGTGTGTCCTAAATATCTTAAATTTTAAAGTACAATTTTCTAAAAATTTTTTTTTCATAATAACTCTGAGGTTATCATAATTATCTTTAAGAAATGTCTATGCATAAAACTCCTTTTTTTTGGTGTAGAAATTTTTTGTTATATCTGTTAATTTCCATCCAGCCGATGCAAAAATGATTTCAACACAATAGTTAATGTAAGTTGAAATGACTAAAGTCAAAGCCGGGAGGCATGTATAGCCGCCTATACTAAAATATGTTAATAAAAAGTTAGTAGGCAGTTCTTTTAGTTTCAAAGTAAAGGAATTTTTCCAATTTTTTTTTATCTCAAAAACTGCGACTGACTGATTTTGATGTTATTACAAATTTTGTTGCAAATATTATTCCTAATCTTAAATTGAAAACCTCATTAATATATGATAATGGACGTTTGACATAACAGTTTTTCGACCAAAAGACACATTACTGATTACTTTCAAACAAAGAATCAATTTACTTTTGATATACCAAGTATTGCATCGTCGAGCGGGACATAGGAAATCCCATGTAAACTTTAATGGGATCAATTATTGGCTTCCCTAATTATTTTAGAGAATAATTCTATTTAGGTTTATTGAAGAGCACTAAAACCCACATTCAAAAGAATAACTTTAGATATTTTTGATTAGCCCGTTTACGAGTTATCGCCGATTTCTTTTTAAAACCAGTCAAGGTAAAAGATAACTGTCAAATGAAGTTGTCATTTCAGAAATTTATCTATTTAGTGCTTTATTATTATTATTAAAAACTCATACCTACATCGAAAATATTAGCCATGAATTACACTACCGAAGAAAAAGTATTGATGATTAAATAGAAAATTAAAAAAGGAAATAGTTATCAAAGGGTGTCGGACATGTTTGTATCCGAATAGACCGATACCTGGAAAATCTACAATCGCAAGGAATATCCAGAGATTTGAGACCAAAGGTACCCTAATAAATAACTGCAGATGTGAAGCAAGGCAGGAACAAAGAGAAGATGCAAGAAATGATACCGACTTGGAAGTTTTATTGTGCGTGGAAGAGAACGATGGAAAGATCAGCACAAGAAAACTTGAGGATGAAATAGGAATATATCACACTACAGCGTTTCGAATTTTGAAACGACATAAATACTATTCCTTCAAATATGAAAAGCACCAAGAGCTACGAGATGGGGACGAAATACGGCGGCAGGCGTTTTGTTTTGATATGATGGAAAGAGCAAACACGGATAGGGAATTTTTAAAAAACATATGTTTCACTGACGAATGCACGTTTACCTTAAATAATGAACCCAAAGTTCAAAATTATCGATATTGGAACAAAGAAAACCAACACAGGTTTGTCGGGCAGGGATATTCGGATACAATATTATCGGGCCATTATTTCTTACGCGAAATTTAAATGCAGAATATTATTTGGAACTACTCGAAAATCATATTTTACCTGCTTTACATGATGCCGCTAGGGAAAATCAGAAAGATTGGTACCAAATGGATGGCTGCCCGGCACATAGTACCCTGGCTGTTCGGGAATATTTAGACAATAGTTTTAACGGAAACGTTATTGGCCTAAATCATACAGTAAATTGGCCATCAAGGTCTCCTGATATTTCGCCAAATGATTTCTTTCTCTGGGGCCATTTAAAAAACAGGATATACAAGGATAAAAAATACCCAAATCTAGACGAGTTAAAAATGCTATTTCTGCCGAATGCAATAGAATTTCAGTTTACCAACTAGCGAATGTAAGAAGAGAATTTTATGATCGCCTGGGTTATTGTCTAGCAGTCGATGGAGGAATATTTGAACATCTTAAATCCTAAAGTTCTAACAATTTAATAGTACCTAAATTAATAAGTCATTGAATATTGTAATAATACTATAATTAACCTTGTAATTGATTATTTTATTTTACTTTAATTCATATTAATTTGTATTTATAAGTACATCTTTGAGATTTCCTATGTAGGAATGAATTTCAATAATAATAAAGCACTAAATAGGTAAATTTCTGAAATGACAACTTCATTTGACAGTTATCTTTTACCTTGACTGGTGCTCACAAGTAAATACAGGGCCATAAGAAAGGAGAAATATTTAAAAAGAAATCGGCGATAACTCGTAAACGAGCTAATCAAAAACATCTAAAGTTATTATTTTGAATGTGGGTTTTAGTGCTCTTCAATAATAAATAGAATTATTCTGTAAAATAATTAGGGAAGCCAATAATTGACCACATTAAAATTTACATGGGATTTCCTATGTCCCGTCCGATGATGCAAGGCCCGGTATATTCTATTTTAGTTCACAGTTGAAAATCTACCAGGTATGTAAAATTTAAAAAAAAAGATATTCTATATTCTTCAAAAAAAAAGGTCTATCATATTTTCAAACTTACCTTTGAAGACAATCGTCGTGATACACTCCATTTAATAGTATAACTACTGACATGTATCTGAAAATGCATAAATAAGTTTATAAATAAGTTATAGTTATATAATAAGTTATATATATTTAGCTAAAAACAAAACTAAATTATTATCCACCAAAAACGTAATCAATTTAATTAATTAAGTTCCAAAGGAAAATAGGGAATAACTTTCTTAGCGATTAAAGTTTTAATTCTGAGAATAAAAAAAAATTGTGTGTACACTATGTGCATGCGAACATAGTGAAACTTCTTACTAACAGTTATTAAATTGGAGGATTTGAAGGACATGTTTGAAAAAGTGACATACCAGAGCTGGCATTTCTTGTCTTGGGTGCCGATTCTCGTGTGTACGAAGAGTACGGTCAACACGCTTAGCAAAATAAGATGTACTGAATAAAGCCAGAAGGCAAATATTCTTGTTTGTATTCATTTTTGCTCTCTCCGACTTACTTGCCATAGCGATTGACTCCTATACATGTAAACGCCGACCCAAGGTTTCGCTTGCCAGCAGGGTATAATGCTGTTTTAATATAAATGTTATTTTCAATTTATTTCTGTAATCTGTACATTTCCTGTTTCCTCAATAGCTTGCAAATTTTGTAGAATACGCCTAGATCATATATATACTTACGTGGATAAGTAAATCACTATGGAAATCGTCGCAAACATAATATCGACGACTTCCATTTATCTCCTTTTTTTGTTGCACACGCGGTGCTTCTACCCTATCTATCCTTGTCGAGGACCTATCGCCCGCGCGCCAAATTTTAACTTTAATTTTAAACATTTAATTTGTAAAATGCTTATATTTGAACAATAAATTGAATGTTGAATTGTACTGTCAAAAAAAATAATTTACCTATATAAAAATACATTTAGCCACTCCGTATGAATATCAATAGTCTTAGGAAATCTAACCAGAAAGTACGCATGTGGCTTAATATAAATAAACTGGATACTTTACTTGCCTAGGGACCTTTATATTAGAACTTTCAGACACTAAACACTTTCTAGTCATTTTTACGATTATTTAGAAAGTCCAACGAAAAAAAAATAGAAATATACTTCTCACTGAGCGGTGAAACCGGAAGTGACCGAAAACAATTGAATACATCAATCAATCTCAATTTATGTCGTATACTATATTAATATCGTTATTTTATCTGAAAAAATAAAAAAGTTATAGGGGGTGAGCCACTTTTGAGACGCACCCGGTATATGATCTAGGGGAATACCACCCAAAATACAAACTTTTATGCAAATGCCTAATAATGTTAACGCTTAAATTAATTAAGAAAAGAAAAAATGTAGAACCTAACCAACAATTTGAATTTATAGTGGTTTACAGTTTGTTAAATTATATCTACCAATATTCTCTCTCGGTATTGGTTTGAAATAAATATGGCGATGTCCTCCAATGAAAATGCGAGTTGCTCAACTGTAATAATTCCAATTCTGAGCTAAAATAGCAAATGAGTCTAAATGCTTTACCTAGACCGTTATTCAGAAGCTACAAACCTATGGATGAAAATATGAATGACAATTTACCTCCCAGCATATAACCAGAGGATATTGGTACCCAGGCACAGTATCGAGTTTATTCTAAGGCTTTTCTTAGCTTTAAATCAAATGTTTTTGGTGCTTGCGCCATTCTTACCCCTTTTTTTCTCGCTAGATCATGTCGTGCCAAGGTCGTGGTGTGTCCTTAGGGTGTCACGGCCTTGAATTTTTACTCCCATCGCGCGTAAAGAAGTTTCACTTCAAAAATTTAAACCCCAAACATATAAGTATTTGCAACTATTGCAACCAAAAACTATGTTTTTATTATACATTAGTCATAGTTTATAATAACATTGAGGTTTAAGTAAATTATATCAATAATTATTAAGATCAGTATTTAGACTTCCAGTATTTATTCCTGTTTTAAAATAATTACTGTTCAACTCTTTGGTTTAATAAGTTTTCATACTTAATTTATATTCAACCTTATTTAATTTTTCTGCTTTACCGTTATATTTCTGTCTTTACTAGCTGTATTTTATTTTTATTTTAATTATGTGATTTAACAATTTTTGGCAAATTCAAACAGTGAAAAATAATTATCAGCCATCTAAAAATCAACATAAAACAAAGAAATTAATTTAATAAGGCGACAAATTAAATAAAAAAAAAATTTATTATTTCTACACGCCTCCATCTCTAACACTGAAAATGCTTTTAAAACGGATATTTTCCTGCCGAAACCAACCCATAAAAGTTACCAACGTAAAAGGAAAATTCTTCTCTTCCGGAAAACCCAAAGACCGCCCTCGAGCATAAATTTAATAACATTTATTTTTATTACGGGGAAAATTCTTCGACAAAGAAGGAACTGGGAAATGCTCTGAAATGTCGTTATTGGAAAAACGGGATTTCTATAGAAAGAAAATCGTTTAATTTCGATGGAGAGACTGAGGAACGGGTTAAAAGGCCATAAGGATTTTCCGAAACGCTGGATGAATTGGTTCTTAGAGCTTTCCCTCATCATCATCAAAATGCTGCAATGGCTTTTGTAACATGCTTGGTGCATTCTTCGCCGGTGCTGCCACCATCGTAGAATACCGTAAATAGCTGACTAAAGAAATACACGGGTTTAAATACGGAGTACATGAAAAATTTGTTATAATAATATTTGAAGAGTATTAGCAAGTGCAATTCTAAAAAAATAAAAATGTAAAGGTTTTGGTATCTTCAGAAGGTCTAACGTTAATTATCCTCTATTACTCAAGCTAATAAAACAATTTAGGTTATTAAAAACACGCCGACTGCTTTAACTACGGTAGCGATCATAGTTTTATGCACCGGTTTTGCCAGTTGGGACATAACTAGGGCTATCTGGACTGTAACGAATTTTATTAAAGGTACATAATTATAATTTTAGTAGATGTTCACAATTTAAGCACTAGTTGATTAAAAAGTTGTGTGCCATTAATATTGACCAAACAATTATACCGAGTGCGTCTCAAAAGTGGCTCACCTCTGTAACTTTTTTATTTTTTCAGATAAAAAAAACGAGATTTGGTATATCACATGACACAAATTAGGATTGATTAACGTATTCAACTGTTTTTGGTCACTTCCTGTTTCAATGGAAATGACTACAACTTTTGATTTTTAAATGGCATCCTCGGTATTTTTTTACTTTATTCGATAGAAAATGACGTTCTGAATAGAATGACATATCATATGTCAACTTTTGACATTCGCGCTTATTAAAAAATGTATTTTAAAATTCAATCTAGAGTGCCACGGCTACGTTAAAAACACTAATTCTTCTAATCAAGGAGCCTTGGAAAAATAGATTTGGTCGTCTAATGTTTTTAGTCTCTTGTCCTGACCAGTTAAAAAATGCCCAAATCGTATTTTTCATCATATCTCAATTTTTTCAAATGGAACGAGGGTGGCTCGTTAGCATATTTGGAAAAAGCATTTTTTTACGAATAATTTGATACCAGACACTTGGTATTTGGAGTCAAATTTTCATTACGAACCGCAAGTTATAATTTCAAATAAACCATATGCAAAAATGTCAAAAGTTGACATATGATATACCATTCTATTCAGAATATAATTTTCTATCAAATAAAGTAAAAAAATACCAAGGGTGTCATTTAAAAATCAAAAGTTCAGTTATTTCCGGTGAAACAGTCCAGTATTTTATTTCCGGTGAAACAGGAAATGACCGAAAACAATTGAATACGTCAATCAATCCTAATTTATGTCATATACTAACATACCAAATCTCGTTTTTTTAACTGTAAAAATAAAAAAGTTATAGGGGTGAGACACTTTTGAGACGCACCCGGTATTGTATTTTCATAGAGTAGGCCTATTTAATTTTTTGGTTGTGTAATGAGCAATAGGGTTTTAATTACAAGCCAATAACTTGTTTAATATCATATGAAATTTTCACAACATAACGCGTCGGCCAGTTCGTGTTCTTTTTTTACTTAATTTTTACTACCCGAAACAACGTTATATTGCTCAAATTTCGTACCTGAGAATTTTATAGTTTCAATAACACTGCATCAAGAACAGTTAACCTAATAGGACTGCTCATTCAGCCAAAAGTGTCCGCCAGGTGCATGCGAAAACTACTCGCTTTGTGACGTCATTGTAGTCCTTGTCATGGTTATTAGTTCTAATCCGGCAACCAATAATACACACACGTGCATTATTGGTTGCCGAATGCAAAACGTTCATTATTTAGTTTATTTATTTAAACACCTTATATGTATGCAGTATAGAAAATTAACTGTATAAATCGTATTAAATACTCGGATAATGCATTTTTAAGAACAGCAGTTCCCAGCATCACCTTTTGCAAGAATTCTTTTTAGAGTACTTCTATATTTTGCTTTAAAATAATTAATAAACAATATCGTAGGCACTTAGTAAGCACTTTGTCACAATCCACAACACAAAATGAACGTATTTATACATTCTATAGCTCTAAAAACTTTAAAAACACCCTTTTCACATTTAAAATTGATAAAATAATTAACTCTAAATTTCTCAGCTGTTATTTTGATAAGTTTACCATAGGCAACTAGAATACACACTATCATGACAGGATGAGCAATCCTATTAGTTTACCGTTCTTGACACTGCATAGTTAAAAAATAAATTAAAATACTTAAATATAGGACAAAGCAACGATTTTAATATTATTTCAGTGCGATCAACATAAACGGTAACGGGACCGCGTGAAATAATTTAGTCGGGCACTTTTAATTTCTGCCGTATGGAGCGCTGCGGTCGGAATTTTTAAAATCAACTGAAATGCACCAAGGCTATACATTTGACATTGTTTTTGCGTTTTTGCTTTAAAATAGGGGTAAAATGAGTGCTTTTTAGATATTAGTGGCTTTTTTGCATAGCTTCAATAAATATTTAAGATAAAATTATTATAAAAGTATTTAATAATTTTACTAAACTACCTTAATTTAACTAATTTCTTCTATTTTATCTAATACCAAAAAGTT